GCCGTTCAAAAATAAATTTCAAAATTGACTCTCTGCTTTTCGTCGCCTGTGATTGCTTTGTTTTTTTTTTCGAGCAAAGCTGCCCATTTTTGTACCCCGTTTTCATAAGCTGTTTAGTACTGCAGAATTTCAGATGAGTTGTTCTTAGGACAGTCTACTGCAACTCCTATTGCACCGTGCCTCATTTAAGTTCAACTTTGATCCACCTCAGCATTGGCTGGAACTGGCTTCTGCCTGTAGGAGTTAAGTGGCGAGTTCCAGAAGGAAGTTTAGAAGGAGAAAAAGAAGATGTAATCGTTGGAACAAGGAGTTGATTCAGTATGAGGTTCCACATCCTCTCTTTGAACCTATCATCAGAATTCTGCTCACCTCTTGAATGATGGGTTTTGGGGGAATATCGGCAGCTTCAGGCCAATAAACTTTGATACACCAGCGATCGCATCTTCTTCATCTACCCATCTTCGCTTACTTATGGGCATCCTGTGCGACCTCTCCTGCAGCCGATCCGATTTTTTACTAGGCCCCGAGGTCATGACAGCCATGTTTACTTCCTCAACCGGATGGAGGTAACGCTCGGGACAGTTGTAGTAGCAATAAAACACTTTACAGATCAAAAATGGGAGAGGGGTGTATAGAGGCAAAAGTTGTTTAAGGAGCGCAATTAATGTTGTCAGGTGCATGTGTGGGACCCTCTGCCTGTTTTCTTATCTGCACTCTGCCCCCTGCTGTTATTTAATCCCTGATTCTTTTAAGCTTCGAGAGTACTAAACTCGGATGCTGGCGGGACGTTTACGAGGCACCGCCGACTGGCCGACTGGCCACGCCTCAGCATTCAGCCTGGGGTAAGATCGTCTACGAAGGCTGCTAACTTCCCTTCCCCATGTACAGGTTTTTAGCCTATTTGGGCGTGCTGAGCGTTTTAATCCAAAGTTTGGTACTTCCAGGAGCAAACGGGGTAAGTTTGCTTTCACCCATTCCCCATTCTCTTCTCCTACCTGCCCATTTTAGCAATTTGCTGGCAGTATAGAATGCTCCATGGACTGCTACTATGATAAGTGCAGATGCGTCGCACCGCAGGGCCCACTGGTAAGTGTGGCACTTAGTTCTTAACACAGATCACCTTATCTAGGGTCCCCCTGGACCTCGTGGGCAACCTGGTCGGCCGGGTCCTAAAGGTTATCCTGGTGAGTTGGGACCTTTTGGTCCCAAAGGTGTGCGTGGACCTCCCGGAGATGACGGTCTTGAAGGCCCTCCTGGAGAGCGGGTAAGAAGCGGTCTTTTGTGGCTTTTTACGTTCAGTGGAAATTAATTTCTAACTGGGGGGCAGAAAAGTATTGGCGAAAAGTCTTTTATTTGTTTGAAATAATCCCTCTCCCACCGCATCTGTCCTATGGTATCCCGGTCCACGCCCTTGCATATTTTGTTCTAAAGATCTACTCTAACTAACAGTGAGGAATGCGCTAATCATACCGTTAATACTAAGCGGCTTCAGGACTCCATGTACGCCGCCAGTATCTCAGTATCAATATCAGCTTATTGAGGGAAATATAGGCAAACATCTTTGAGCTCCCTATTGGTACCAAGATGATAGGAAGCATATAGATACAAATAACATTTAAAAAGTACGTCAATTACATGTTGCGAGTGAAGACACAGCGGTTGTTGGGTATCCAAAATAGTAATAAAACATGGCTACTCGCTTATCAATAGTAGTATAATACTATCGATAATGTATCTAATGTCTATAACCTTAGTTTACTGCCCTAAATAGTCCCTTTGTTCCTTTACAGGGACCTGCCGGTGACTTTGGCCCACCAGGCAAACATGGTGATTATGTAAGTTGTCCCTAATATCTTGACAAAACACGCAAATGTAGGGTGAACCAGGCGAGATCGGTGACGCAGGTGA